GAGTGCACAGTGACAAGATTGTTGAAAGCAGCTTGGCTGACCACCTGTAAAAATTAACTGCTGAGTGCATTGCATGCTGTGCATGAAAATTGTGATTCATGTCCATTTTTATGGAAATTTTGGCTTGTCGGGATTTTATTTTTGAAGAATAGTAGTACTTGAACCCACATTTGCGTTACGTTCTGACAATTGCCAGCATGAGGGCTTTAAATATAGAAACTAACCTGAAGGTAACCTGGTCCTGGTTTAGGGAAAAAGAGGAATAACTACAGTTATTAAGGAATTTAAACTTGCTATTCATCCCCACTCAAGTCGTTGATATTAGGAGACTCTGATTATTTTTAAAGAGAGGATCATTCTACTCTGTTGATCAGTCTCCTGCTGAGGAACACAATGCTTATTTTACTTATTACTGTATATCTGAATCTAAGCAATCTGAATAATTTTTCATCTAATGTCATAACAGGAATATTAACTAAGGCAACAATCTAGTAGTAAAGGATTCCTTCTATGGTAACAGTTTTGTGGTATTTTAGTGATAAAACAACATAAAAGGACATGAACTATTTATTATCCACGGAGTTGAAAGCATTCTTTATGAGACTAGTGTAGGGGGATAGATGGAAAGAATGAAGGACGAATGAGAAGTTTAATCTTGCATAAGCATGAAAATGTAGCATCCATAAACTGGCAGATATGTCTGTGGCTGTACTAATTGCATTGCATGACACCAAGTTGCATTTAGAAGTGTTTGGTGAATAGTGGCTTTTTTTTTTCTTTGATACATTAAGTGTCTTTCTCTATACTGTGCGAATCCTTAATTGTGAAAGTAGCCAATTAGTTTACAGCATTGATTTCAGCTTTGGCAGATTTAAGGAAGGAGGTGAGGTGGTGCTGCAAGTTGCACTTTGTAGCTGATGTTCTGTGGTAAAAGCTGAGTTCAGTTAAATCAGTGTGTACAATTGACAGGGGTATGCTGATAGGTGGGTGTCATAAACCCACCTATCACCCATTCTTCCTTTTTAAGTGTTAATTCTAAATATTTGATCTCCTCTTGTACCAAAATGTCCTTACTATTTGAAATAGTTCCTGTTTTCCCTATCACAGTTGCTATTATCAGCTGAAAGTTATTTCTGGATATACTTAAAAATAACTTTGAGAGCACAGTATTTTTCTGTTACATTTGTAGAGATGGGCATATTTACATGTAAATGATTTGCTGGGTCCTGTACTTTGTTTGCATTTTTCACATTCAGTAGGAAAGAACTGTTGTCACAAGGCCTAGCCAAAAGATTACTTCATTGTTGCCTTGATCTAGGCTCTTAAGGTCATGGTGGGAAGTTGAGGTTTCTACATTCTCTCTGCAAAAGTTATATTTTTACAGTGAAGTTTCCAGCTATGACCTTTTTATAATGTACAGTAGTTTTCCTAACAAGTGAGAACCATGGGATAATTTTGCTTAATGCTAGCAGTGAAAATCAGAACCAGAAAGAGAGCGTCATTGCAAAATTCCATGCATTAACTAAATATTATTCTGGGGAAAGAGAATCTTTGTATTTTTGCTTTAGGGTTCTCATCAAACATGTGTCTTGCATTACCTTTTGCTAAATATCTTTTTGACTGTTTTGCTTGTGTTAAACAATCAGGAACAAATTTGGCTTGTAGTTTGTTTACTGCTTAACAGTGAGGACCACTCAACAATTAGAAAGTTTGTCCTAGACTTTAGGCTGCAGATAATATCTCTAGCTTCCTTTTTATTTATTTTTTTAAAATTTGTTTTAAATAGAGTTCCAGAATCCAAAGTAAAAAGGAGCTGTGTATTGTGACTGAGACTGTTAGATCTTGTGGAGATTGAATTTATCAACCTTTTGTTGTTCCGCCTTTAAATGGCGTCACTAGTCTGTAGCCTGTAGGCCTAGACTGTGCAGCTGATTTATTTTATTGTTTTATTTTTAAATGTGGGAATTGCTTTAGGCATTTATGGTAATATTCATATTTTCTGAATTAGTATTGTGTTATTACGACCGTTCTATTGGAGGAAACTATAGTATTCATGCAATTTTCTGAGATGAGAATGAATGCATAAAGATGAGGATAAAAAGCTAACATAAAATCTCCTTTTTAAATACTGCCAGAAAAAAAATGGTATTTGCTATATAAAAACACTTTCTTGCTGTTCTGCAGCCCATTCACCTGACAGTCTTGCTTTTTACTATGTCTGTTCTTCATAATTGTGGCAGCAAAGGCAATCTCTCCTTGACAGGGATAATGCTTTTATTCCCTGATTACTGTGCAAGATATGACTCTCAGCAAATAATTATTCTTATTCCATCAATTCACTTTCGGCAGGGGGGGCGAGGGGGAAGGCAACTTTTTTCTTTTTCCTTTTAACTTTTAGACTGTAGTCCTTTGGAATGTAGGATTCAAAGGGATTTAATAAGCCACTAAATCTTTTCTTCTCTGTTGGTCCCCATATCTACTGACATGATCTCAGTTAGTCCTCTGAGCTATAGGTTTGAGTATGCCGGTGATGGGTGGAAGAAACAGTGGTTTCATATAAAGTGCTTTCACAACTTTGTAAGGTACTGGTATATGGATCAGTGAGATCAGTAAAAGTAGAAGAGATTAAGAGATTCCATAGGTTCCTCTGGATTCAGATTCAATCATCCAAGTAGATTCAGGAAAGGCTCCAGCTGACCCTTGCTCCCTGGGTGTCCAAAAGGGCAATAGTTCTGTCGCGTTTGGAAAGGTCGAGGTTGTGGTCTCTCACTTGATGCCAGTTACATTCACATCCGAGTACGTGTGCAATATTCTTTGGGGAAAGGCAAATTTTACTCTCTAGGAGCTTTTTAATTTTTCTTTTCCCTGGCCGAAGTAGTAGTCAGGGGAAAAAAAAGTTGTATTTTTAATTCAGTTCTCTTGAATGACAAGAATGGTACAAACTAATTCCAGAGGAGTTCTTACCAGTGCTTTGTACATACTGCTATTTTCTTATATGTCTTTTGGAATATTTCTGAATTCCTTTTAACTTTCTTTTTTGTCACTTTGAAATATTTTTCTGGTTCAAAATAAATGCTATAAAAGACTCTCTAGATGACAGCAAGCTTAAGTTGTTTTATCATTGTTTCTGAGATGTTTTGGACTTGAGCAAAAGTATTAATGGTGGAGATTGGAATCAACAGTTTCCACAACAGCCTCATCTCAGAGTTTAGGCTTACATAAGATTTAGATGTTCCATTTAAAATTCATGTGGAGTGACAGCATATTGGAAGGAAAGTGTGGGATATCCTAATTTTCTTTTTCTTAATTGTGATGGTTTTCCCTTTGAAGTTAAAAAGTCTGACTATCATATCCTTGATCTGTAAACTGTTTTTGTTTTCAGTTCATTTGACTTCAATTTTTAAATTTCTAGCAGTATATTATATGGGTTAGACAGCTGTGTAGGGATTTCTTGCTTATTTGTACTGATTGCATCAGTAGCTGTGGCTTGAATTTAAGACTTTACCCTTGTGAGCAATAGTTACGGCCTGTTTTGTTTCTGAGTTCCAGCTTGTTCAGTTCTTGAGCAGAATGCTGTACTATGAGAAAAGCATGATGAATTACCTGACACACTGATATTTATGACAGCTTAAGGAAAAAAAAATAGTATTAATAAATGAAATGACTAAGTGCATACCTAACCACTATGCTAACCTCACAAAACCTATACTGCAAGCACCTAGAATTTCTCAAGTTCCTATTACTGAGCAGTCCTAGTGGCAGAGTACTGGGCCAAGCCTTCACTTCTTTCCAACTACCGCTCAAACTTCAGCCTACCAACACGTATGGGCTCATGTGAAGACTTAATGAATCCAAAGTGGTGATACCACATGGAAAATGTCTTGTGGGTACTTCTATGGAATTAAGATGTGAATTAGATTCAGATTATTTATTCTGGCTAAATTTATTCTACATTTTCTAATGATTTGTGAAACTATTTTTTCCAGTCGGAGAGTAGGTGATAGAGCATCTTGATGATAAGATATAAGCCATGTGAAAAAAATGCACACTACCTGGCTGAAACTTGAAAAGAATTGTCACTTGCCGTTCTAACTGTCTGAGTTGTTTTCTCCAAATGCTCACAAATAACAAAGGTTTTCTTCAGGGTGCTTAGTACAAGGTAAAACACAGCAATGTGAGTAGATTAAATATAGCCTCTTATCCACATAACGGCTGTAGCCCTATACAGTAAACTTACTGTAGTTTTCCAGATAAAATCATTACTTGTTTCTCTTTGCAGTGGTATAATATTTACAGTAAGCTGGATTTAAATAGCTTAGAGATGTATGAAATATAGTCTATGAATTACTTGTTGCTTTTGTGTTTGCAAAATAAATATGTACAAAATTATGCTTTAGTGGCTAATTTTAACCCACTGGAGCAAAATGTTTTGAGAGCATTTCTTTCTTATTTTAAAATGAAAAAGCTTAGAGTAGTTTTGTATTGCCTAAAAGTGATCAAAGGAAATGCCAATATGTACATGGTTATTTTGTTTTTTAAATAAAATTCATATTGGTGCCTAATACTTCAAGCATTTAATAAAATATAAATTCTCACAGTTTTAGCTTACATCAAAGATGAAAATTATTGTGTGGTTTGTGGAAACTAAAGCAACTCCCAGATAGACGCATTTGGAAATTTTTTATGTGGCAGCCCGTTTCATATGCTCAGTAACACCCATGTGAAGTTGAAAGTGTGCATCCTAATGAAGGATGAAGGCTTGGGGGAGTCTTGTAGTGATTCCGTTAGAATTAAGATTCAGCTAGATGACGTGGTTATCTACACTTTCTGATGGTTTCATGCAGCAGAAGCACCCTTGGCAAATAATAAAATTAAGCATTTTGAGGCATAGAGATATACATATTACAAGGTACTGTTTCTTGAATTTGTTACTAATAATGCAAAATATCTCATAATGTTTTCATGCAGGTGAATACTAATGGATGGGTTTCTTTTGGCAGGTTGTCAAGTTGTTAAGTAACAAAAGATCTCAAGCTGTTGGAATACTAATGTCTAGCCTTCATCTAGACATGAAGGACATTCAGCATGGTAAGTGAAATAAGTATTGTTGATTTTAGTTCAGATTGGATTGTTGATAATCTGGAAATTTCAATTATTTCCATCTTTTCATTTGATTGCAAAATAAATTTGAATAATATGAGAGCATTTTTAAGCTTTATTTTTCTGAAAACAGTTTATTCTGACATTAATCTTGCTCTTTGTAATATTGTATATCCTTATAGAGTATAGAAGATGAATCAGTTGAATATTAGCTGTTTATTTGCAGAAGTGCCACTTATAGTTCTTGGCATCGATTAGATAAATCATGTGAGACTTAGAGTCTTTGATTTTGGTCTTTCTGAGGAAGAAAGTTTGATGCACTGGGTGTTGTAATTCAAGTATTGCCAGGAGATATCCAGAAATGTGAATTATAAGAGTTAATTGATTTGCTGTGTAAAGTAGTTCCTATATGTGGTTTAGCACAAACTGTGTAGTTCTTTCATCTTCAGCAGCTTTTCTTAGGGGGAGATATTTTGGAGGGAGTGCAGTAGTTTTTGCATTTATGCTAAGAGACAGTAGTGCAAGAAGGTGAAAAGTGGAACTGCCTTTATATTCGGAGCATCCGTTATGTTTCCCAATGGATTTGGATAGATTTGAAGCAGATTGAATTATCTTGTGAAGTGCCAGCCTATCTATTAAAGAAATGTGGTTTTAAGTAAAACACAGACTTCATAAATCACTGAAACATCTTGTGAACTTTCTAGGCTACGTATTTACAGCTGTGGATTCAGTTTACTATGATTTTCTTTTTTCTGTGGAATTATTCATTTAAAAAAAAATCCTTAGTGCACTATAGCAGCTAGTGAGTAATCCTTAATCATAATTTTAAGTTTTTTATTAAATTGTTTTGATGGTTAGTAGACTTCCTCAATCTGAAGCACTTAAGATGGTAGTCATAGAGCAAGGCGCCAGTACTGGCGCCAAGAAGTACTCGGTATTTCCAAAGCTGGCAGATGTAGTTCAGTTAAGTCATAGAGCAAAATCTGAAAACAATGATATGGTCCTTTCCTTCAGTCAAATATTCAACTTGGTTTCAGTTAATAATGAGAACCTTATGAACAAAGGAGTCCGCCTAACATCTGTGTCTGTGGTAAAGCCAACACAAGTTCATTGAAAATTTGCTTGCTTAACATGCAACACTAACAATAACATGGCATGAATGTCAGTAGTTGAAGGGGTCAAACAATATTATGCTTAACCTTTATCCTGTTACAATATTAAGCACACATGATCATGTGTAAGAGCTATGTACAGATTCTGTGTATTCCTTTAGTAGCTTTTAGTGCTCATAGTTCCACACAGTTCAGAAGTCACTGATGTAACGAGCATGTAAAAAACTCTTATCTGATGGAACAGCTTGTGGAAATGGTTGGAAGACCAGTGTTAAAAATTATTTAGAACATAAAGTAGGAATAGAGGAAAAGAGGTGTGCAGTAGCAAACAAATTTGCATGGTGGAAGCATGCAAATAAATTTGCATGATTTTGAGGTCTCACAAGAACATTTCTGACATCCGTAACTCCATGCAGGACACTGAGAGTGACCATAGAGCATGTGGAAGAAAACGTAAAATAGCAAGCCTAAGAATTTAGCTTCACACATTCAATGCATGCACTATTTTTACTTGCTTTTTAGACAAGTAAGGATTTTATCTATTTCGTTAAGTTTGATTGTTCACTAGTTTTTCTGCTGCAGTATTGAATGTTCTAATGAGAAAGTACTATTGGAAAATTGAAATGATACTAAAATGAATGGCTGGATATGCTTACTACGTTACATAAAGATTTAGGAGGTGTGACAGTTGTGACACAAAAATGTGATCAATGTTCTCTGTCCTGTCAATGTGCTTCATGAGTTTTTGCTGTTTCATACACAATAAAATGTATATTTACTCATCTCACAATACAAGAGATTTCTTTTGTGAATTTAAAAGGCATTCAAACTTTTTTTTTTTCCTCTCCTCTGTCAACTTGTGGTAATAGGCCACTTCTTTTATAGTCATTCTTGTAAATATTCCTCATATTACATAAAAGGCATATCTGCGGAATGCAGTGGTAATGTAAATTGCAGAAGAATTGTAAATGGATTTTTGACTGGCCTTAGGAAAAAACCCAGAGAGAGAAGCTTTCAATGGAGTGCTGTATTGGGTCCATTTCTTCATTCGCATGCTATTGTGTTTTATTTTTCTGATGAATTAGATGAATTTCAAAATGTTACAGGAACAGAAGGGAGAACAACTGTGTTGGGTATGAATTCACTGAAATTAGGATTGCAAGATTTAATCAATATTTAACTGAAGTACTTAAAATAACTTGAAACCTGGGTAAATGCTGTATTTAATTTACTGGATTTTTTTTTTCTTTTAAAATACAAACCACTGAAATATTGTCTACAAAATATACTCTTTGAAAAGCTGTTTTGGAATCTCAAAACTTTGGATCATTTATGATATATTGTTGACTTTGTCATCTTCTTTTATGTTTATGATCTTATGAGTGTGATGGCATTTTGTGAAAGGTTTCAGAATGTACAAATATATGCCAGATTGACTATTGCTGTTGTTTGTTCCTGTTGATGATAGCATTGTTAAGTGGCTTCTGGTAGAGCTATGTTTTTTATTTTTATTATTTATTTATTTACTCCTTGCTTTGAAATAGATTTGGTAAGACAGCTCCCATATCCTAAAAGGTGGAAGGAGCAGCTTTAATAAGCAGACCATATTTCTACCGAATCCTGTTACGGCTTTCTAGTAGTGCTTTAAAGTTGGGTAGGCTGTTTTTTGTTGTTAATCGGGTGCTTTAGTAGATTCTAATTCCTAACAGGATTTCAACTATTTTTTCCAGTCTAGGCTAGAATTTTAAGAAATAGTGTCTTTAATCCCTGTGCAATTACTCTGCATTATTAGTTGCTTCAGTACAAACCTAAGTCCTCTTCTCAGCATTTCCCTGGTCTCACACAAGTTCTTACTGGTGCCTGTTTCTTAAATCTAGCAGCTTTGTGAAGTGGTTTATCCAGGACTTCTGCATGCTTTTTAATTTTCACTATACCACTCATATTCCTCATTCATCCTATCCAGTAATCCATTTCTGGTTGCAATATAGTTGCAACAGGCTGTTGATACAGCCAAAGCTTGGGAAAGACCAAACACTTCTGGCTTTTTATTTTTTTTTTGTCTTAGATTTTCTTTCAAGGCAGAAGGCTTTTATTGTAACCTTAGCTCATCTTTTTAATTAATTTTATAAAACTTCACAGATACAGCTTGTGTCAAAATTGGAGTTAAATCAAGATTTCTGTTACCAGCATATAGTAATGGATTTTATTTAAATTAGGTTTTCTAGTGATTAACATAGATAAATATTTGAGTGACTAGCTGGTTGCTCACTGATGAAGAGAGAAATAAAACATGAATCTGCCTTCTTACTACTCAAAATGTGCCCCCTTTCAGTTTCTAGCTACTAGATGGATGGAAGGTGCCAACTGGTGTTGTAAAGATCCTCCTTTTGTTTTTAAGCTATTGTGGATATTACACGTGCAGTAACCACAGCAAGAGAGAGAGAACCTCTTTTGTGTGAGGGGCAAGAACCAGGGGGAAGTTTTAGTTAGTGGTGATTTTTCCTCTGTGAGGCAGCACAGTGTGCAGAATTTGATACACTACTAAGAAAGAATATTATAGCAAAGAACATAATAGGAAAAGTACTTATGGAGAGGCAAGGAGGTTCATCTAACAGTAGATAAAGCACAACTTTTTTTATCAGGATTTGAGATTACATGTTTGAAAACTGTATTTGTGGCAGACCATGTAAGAGAAATATTACTTTGCACAACAGGAATGTGCTGTGTCTTCAATAGGAAAGACTGGTGTGCAGAGAGTGAAAATGCTGATGTCGTTAGTGAGAAAAATAAGTCTTTATTCTTTAATATGTAGCTATTAGTGACAGAGAAACAGGGGCAAATACTTGTTTCATTTCATTATTTGACTGCCCACACTGAGACACTGATCCATAAAATTATTATAATTGTATTAATTGCAGGTTAATCACTAGTCTGAATTTTTTATTTATCAAATGGTGTTTTATACAAACACTTAAAATTCTGTAAGATTAGGGCTTTGGTCCCCACTCTAATGCCTGCCCCCCCAGCCTATATCTAAATTCTTCTGAGATCTGAAGACCAAGAAAAGATCTGTTGTGTGGTATTTTTCTCAATGCTGTGCACTTGCCTTGATCTTTACATCATAACCTTTGCTCTTTCTTCTCTAGTTCTGTCCAGCTTTCTACTACTGTATGATATAATGGCCACTATTAGTTTGCTGATTTCACCTTTTATTTGCCTCTGATTTATTTTACATGCACCTACCATTAAATTATCAATAAAGGAAGCAATGGCATATGCAAAATGGCTTTTGCGAAACAAGTGTGGGTGCGTGGGTAACATGCTGACACTGGTTGTGCGTGCTGCCATAAATGTTTGTATTGCGTGGATGCCATGGCCATGCTGTACTTTGTGCTGCCCAGTAGGCCAGGCAATTCGAGTCCTTATCTGGTCCCTGGTACTTGGGGCAGGGAGGGAGGAAGGACTGCTAAGGCTGCTGTCATGGGGGACAGGTCGTGAGGATGGCATAGGCTCCTGGGCTGGGGATGAAGCAGTCCTGAATGCTAAAAGTGTACCTCAAGTCCACTTGCTGTACCTGAATTCTAGTTCAGTGAGCAGAGGCCAGCAAGGTAGTAGCAGCAATTGTTAAGGGAAAATATAATCTCTGGTGTTGTTTCCTCTGAGCATTCATGGGAAACATCACAACGTCAGTATTTCTGTCCTTCATTATCACCAAAAAGGGAACTGTATGTTTTATCTGATGTTTATTCAAAATTTATAACTGAAATACAACTTTTATAGAGACAAATATTAATTTAGTATAATGAAAAATACATTTTTAAGAAATTAGGGATTTTTGAATGGGGAAAATTATATTGAGTTTTTTCACAATATTTG